CTGCCTAGGCTTGGCTCCCCCCATTGGGCTGGCTCCCACGTCATCCGTGCCTTCACTACTTTCCCCTCCATCGTATACGCTTGTTCTGGTTGCTGTTGGCATTTTCAGAAGTCTGTGCGGATGTGTGGGTGGTTGTGGATTATTAATGAAGACTAAGGGTTTTAGAGTTTAGGGGTTTTTTATACTCGTGGCCTGTGCGGTTGTGCTCCCCTGTGCGGTTGTGCGCCCCTGAGCTGAGTCCCACTGAGCTGTGTCCCGCTGAGTTTGTTGTTCGTCCTCTTCATCACTCAGAGCTGTAAGTTTCGGGTCTATCAAGGGGATGTTAACGCCTTAGAGTAATTAAACGCTTAGGTTAAGTTTAAGTATGATAAAATTTCAAAGTAAATAGACGAAATGAGTCTTATAGTAAAGTTAGGTATGCCTCGCGAAGACAGCAATACTCTGAGCGATTGTGAGGCTGAGACATTGCCTATATATAATCCTCTCAGTACTGTTTTCGCCGAAGAGATTTTATTTAGTGTTTCGTCGTCGCTCTATTAGAAGCTATGGTATGTTTCGTTGGAGCGAATCCGAGAGACTCATAAAACCCTATCCTTAGAAAAAAAAGGTAAATAGAGAAAAAAAAAGAAAAAGAAAAAAAACTCTTGATGTCCATAGTTATTGTATTACCCAATAACTTGCCACTTATCAAGAATTACCGACTAGCCTTCATCACACTGGCACATCTTGTTGGCGGAACGGAGGGTAAACTAAGCAACGCTAATAGTCCTTAGAAACCTAAGTTCGGTTGAGCCATTTCGCTACCGAGGTACTCAGATATGAACAGAATTGGAAAGTAAATATATTTCTATTAATAGAACTAGTCCAAATCTTAAATTTGGTATTTTACTGGGGCCTTTTAATGGCCTTGTCCGAATATCTGTTATGTAAAATGGAAAAGGTATTTAATTAATACAACCGTCAAAAACCATTTAAGAAAAACTAAGTTTACGTACTTTTAAGAGTACGTTATATTATAAGATTCTAATGTGCAGGCCCGGCTTTTACAGAGCCAACTATAATTGCTCGGACGTCGAATCTGTGTTTGTGCTCGCCTTTCCTGTTGTGCTTGCCTGTGTGATTGTACTATCTATCTCTGGGCGCTCAATTGTAAGTGGGGCAGAGTAAGGAAACCAACCTCCTATTTTAGCCCCTTTATACCCTATACCACCGCTATGTGGTCAGGAAGTCCCTGATAGGGTTTATTTAGGATTAGGGTTTATTTGATATTTGGGTTTTTATGAGAGACTACATTTTGAACTGGGTTTATCCGATCAGGTTAAAACTGGTTTACGGAAAATACATGATCAAAATGATAGTCATAGGATTAAGTTCAACAAATGAACAATGTCTCCCCTTGTACGAGGGGAGTACGTTGAGATACAGTTATCCTTGACTACTTACGACATTTTTAACTGACTTAGATGTTGTACATTAATTGAACTATTCCTGAATAGGGGACGAAGTTAGTAGGGACTATAGGATCCCGTGTAAAAGTATTTTTTTTTGTAAACAACACAAAGAAGAGAGAGATGTCTCAGACATCAGAAACGGAAATGACGGTCGTTGACATAGAACAACCATTAGTAGATGACACAGAAAGTGGCTTTATTAGTAGTGATACTAGTGATAGCATGCCAGCATTGCTACCAAACAGCGGTAGTGCGTCTGAGGCGGAGACGAATAGAGAAACCTCAGAAATCCAGAGATGAGCCAGACGCATGGGACTACACAATCGTAAACTCCGGACGCACACTCGTCAACAAGTAGACCGCTTGAATGAGAGAATAGAGCGGATAGAGATTAGCGATGGAGTTACTAACAGACACAGGGTACTATGCATTGTCACCGAAGATGTTACGGTAACCAACCGAACCGGAGGAAGTGATATGTTAGAACAAAACCAAAGAGGGTGTACCTTTACATCGACATGGACACTCCGAACCACATCACATCAAGAAACATCCACACCGTTATGGGCACCAACACATTTGCCAGAGCCGAACCACACCAGAAAGGTTGAAGAGGACAAGGAAGAAGGATGGCAGATTACAGAAGACGAAGTGGTACACAGATAATGGATAACAAAGGTAGATGTAAAAGTTGGAAGATCACCAAGACAACAAGGAATGTGGATGTACATACCGTGCACATGATGAGATTGCATAACCGATACTTCCCAATAAAGTGTCGAACTAGGATACTATGCTCTTTTACCCCATAGGTGGCCAAAATATGATGTAAGCCCTTACCTTGGTGTGTACTTTTGTAATATATATA